TTTTTCTTTTTTATTGTTTTTAGCATTTATAACAAGCTAAAGGACAGCTGTAGAACAGCTACATCTATGTAAATCATTCATTTCATTTGCCATCGATAGAATTTTCCACAATACCAATCATCATCGTTCCTTTAGCAGACGGCATTTTGCACACATCATATATCAGTAAACGAAGTTTACATGAAAATAACTTTTTTTTTTCTCTCTCTCTCTTTCGCTCTCTCCCTCTCTCAGTTTCCTTTATAAATTTAAAATGTAACGATAAATGTAAATTTTATAAAAAATGTAATGAAATTGAGGAGGAGGAGGAGGAATAGAAGAAGGAGGAGGTGGAGGTGGAAGAGGAGGAAGAGATGAAAGAGAGAAAAGTTTTCGTTTCAATAGAAAAATTCCTCAAATGGTCCCTGTCCTTCCGTCGATCTGTATTATTATATTCCAACCTGATTTTCCAATTCAATTTTCTTTTCAAAATTATGCAATTTCTTTTTCATCAAACATATCATATAATTTCATCAAATAAAATGATGTCTCAATCCATTTTATTTTCATCAAATTGTAAATATGATCATTTCAAGTTATTGTTCGATCAATATCTCATGCTATCTTTTTGACCTTTCTTTCGAAGTTTAAAAATTAGTTCCTGTAATTAAGCTGACATAATTACGGGTATTTCCATTTATGAATTAGTAATGATTAATAATGTATTGATGCTATCGTTTCTTACTAATTATTTATTTCATCTTTTTCTTTTTTTTTTTTTTAAGCATAAATGAAAATTGTAGGGAATTATTCAGATAGTATTACTAAAATTTGATATTTGACCTCAATGATTAGTTCAATTGATAATTGTTTGGAAAAAATTTTGATGAAATTCCATCACCTCGATGATATTTCAATAGTTCTCACGCAATACGAAACATTTGCATGGAATTCCTCCATTCATCCAATCACTGGCAATCATCATAAATCGTGATGTGATCTTAGAAATTTTCCGCGGAAAATGTTTGTGTAATCTGGTATTCAAACTTCATTTCTCTCGTTCTTTCTTGCTTGACAGATGGAATGATCGACTGCAACAGGTTTCTTGATCGCCTGAATCCTTTATGACTGGATCATATTCATTTCCCCGCATTTTTCAATATTTTGCGATTGCGGTTATTTTCTTATACGTTGTTGTTTTAAGGTAAAATTGAACTAAGAAGTAATCGAAATTATTAGGTAATAATTGGTATTTCACTGATTTAAATTTAACAAATAAAGCTAGTAGAAAGCTCGTCTTTCCACTTTTTCATTCGTTTTTTTTTTTTTTTACTCAATTTTTCTTTTTCTTTTTGCTTTTACGGTAATTTAGGAGATGAAATGTTACACTTGATATGTTCTTCATATACGTTGGATGCGTACATGTAATGTATGTGTATATGTACGCGTGCGTGTGCGCATGTGTGCATGTGCATGCGTGTGTGCACACGTATGTGTATGCATATACTGCAATATAATATTTAAGTCCAGCACTTTCAAGTAGACAACAAAATGAATCGACTTTTTAACGAAAATTTGCTCCCATCCTTTTCTTCAATACCAAGGGATATATCGTAAAGCTTCCCCTAAATTCATAAAATTCCCAATTAAATTTGATTAATTACAATGTTGTAAGCGATGAAAACTTCGACTCCGTGCGATACTTCTTCATTTTGCAACCGATCAATTAAGCTGTAATTTTAATTCAGTTGATTAGATCATGATCTGAATACGTTTAACGTTATAGCATTAGTAAATGACATTCGAAGGGTATCGATTTCCTTCAGCCACTTTTTTTTTTAGTTTCCATGCACAATTTTCGAAGGGTTTTTACTTTACCCATTATCCCTTACACAATTAAAAAAAGAAGCTTTTTCAAGCAGATCATTTCATTTTCAGGTCATTCTACGATTTCCGATCTGCACGTTTTATCAGCAAATTTTTCAAAACATTCTATATATGGTACCTTGATGATTTAGGTTTTATATAAGTGGGAGTGAGACTGAAGCAAGTTTGAATCCATTCCAGCACAGGAAAGATACTGTAATTGTATCATCTTTCCGGCTGCCTCAAATTATCTTTGCCCCTGAACTCAAATTTTTAAATTTAGAAATGGCAAGAATGCTCAAGTAATATGGTGGCATTGATGTGATGACCAACAAGGAATTTCTCTAGGGATTAGATGCTGTTGGTAAGAGCTAGATGTTGTTGGTGAGAGCTGCTGAAACAGAAATTCAAAAAAAGTGATCAGTAAAAATGTAACAATATCAAAAAAAAAAAAGGTTCGTAGAGTTCGTGGAGACAAGGGTGAGGGAGGGCGGGGGTATGAATGAGGAATGAATGGGATGAGAGATGAGCGGGTTGGAACAACCTAAAATTCGGAGAGATGGAAGAAGCAAAGCAGCATTTCGTCCCACAAATTGTTATCTTTTCGTTGACCGAAACGTTTGGGTAAAGCAAATCCATCGTAGCATACACATACAACGACAGACATCAACATACAATCAGACAGACACTCACAGATACTTTAACAGACACTTGGACCGACACACCCATAAGACACACATCTGGTTCTGTTCAATTCCTCATTTCCAAACAAACGTCTCTTAACTTCATTTCTTCTTCCTATATCTCCCCTTCCTCCGTCTTCTCTTCCCCGCCTATTTGTACGCCGTCTATTCAACCAACCAACTAACCAACCAACCAACCGACCGACCGACCGATCAACCAACCAACCAACCAACCAACTAACTAACCACCAAGCAACAGCAACAGCAACAACAGCAGTAATGCCAGCATTTCGAAAAGTTTTCGAATCTGTTGAAAAATCAGCCCTCTTCCCCTCCCCTTTTTCCCCCCGCTCTCGTTAAATTGTCTGTGTTCTTCCCACTCATTTCTTGTTTTACCTTTCCTCCATCCCTGCTTTCCGTCTCCCAAATCAGCATCACTTTGTTCACGAAGTCGGGTATACCTTGGTTTATTTGATGGTGGGAGAAAGGCGAAGGAATATAGATATGGAAGAGGATCGGGGCCATGTACTGCGGGATAACAGCAAAGGTGAATTAAAGAAGAGGCCGGATAAGACAAGATGAAAAGGGTACGGGAAGGATGTCAGGTTAACACGTAAACACGATTATTACGTTTGGATTTTTCTCTTTTTTTTTTGCAAATTTAATTTTGGTAAACCTGTTATTCCCTTTTTTTTTTCGCTTCATCGTTGAATGTGTATGTCATGGATTAGATAAATGCGAAATTTAGGAAGGTCACAACTTTCTGATTTCTACTGTATGTGCTGCATTTTTTCCGCCATTTGTCAGATCTCGCTCAACCCGGGAGATACCGGGATGACCTGTATGATATATGATCGGATATCCAAAATTGTTCAATATCACTCTTAAAGTTTGCATCTCCAATGGATTAAAAATGCAATCGCCCAATCTTAGCCATTGTTTCATTCTTTGGTCATTGGTAATCAACAACTAGTAGTGATCGATCATTGTGGAATTGTTAAATTTAGTTTATGAATGAATCTTAACATTGAATTTGTCCTGATCTTTATCATTATAATTTCATTAATAATGATAATCAATAGAGTTACACACTAAAAAAAAAAAAAAAAGGAAAGGAAAACTGCATTGGAAATACAGTTTAACTTGTGTACTCGTTATTCGGATACCTGCATATCTGTTGCAGAATCGATGATTTTTTTTTGTTCTGTTAATTTTTATAAGATGTAAATATAGGGTATATGTTGAATGATTATCAACAATGATATAAGAGTAGATTAGTAATTTCAATATTTGCACATACATATATGGATGATGTGATGAGGTAGTGAGTATGCTAAGCTTACAATTTCATTGATATACATTAGCACATTGGTATGAGAAGAAATTTAAGCAAGAAGAGCGGTAGAGGAGGGTTGAGGTGTGGATTGGTAAGGAGGAAAATTTTAAAGGAATTATGGAGAAAAGGATAGAGTTGAATGAGTGCGTTGCAACGTCCGTCCATCTCTACAACCACCGCCATTGCACACATCCAATCAGTAAATATATGCATATATATATATATATATATATATATATAT